TCTTTCTAGTGGACAATTGAATTGTGTCAGTAGCGTTACTCTGAATTTGTTCATGTAAATATCAGACAAGAAAATGGCCTGAAAAGCCACTAGCACATAAAGGAGCTCCACCTGCTTTCACTGAAGTCAATATTGAAATTCCCATTCATTTCCATAGTGCTAGGAGATGATGGATTAAGAGAAGTTAATTTGGGGCTTTGGGGAATTATATTCACAATTTTAATTGCATTTATATAAAAAGTACATTGATCCTTGAATAAATTCTCAGTACACTAAAAGAATCAGAAATGTTGCAAATGCCTCTGCATGTTCTCCCTATGATTAACTGTTCTTTAAACGAGAAGAGAATGTATGAATGTAATAGTAGGTATTACCCTGTTTGCAATTACTTTGAATAGTAAAAGAAATTAAGAAGTGTCTTAAGGCATGAGTTTACTGAATGTAGCCATATGTAAACAAACAGTGGTGAATCTGCTCTTTCACTGTGAATTTTAAGATCAAATAAATGGCAGAGTCATTTAAATTACATGTAAGCACATGCAAATAATTAAATATTGGGGTCTTGACACTTTAGTTTGCAATTCCTACTCTCTTATTAAAATTGTCCACCAAATTTTGCAGTAGAAGTGAAATTTTTCACTAAACGCATTACTTTTCACATAAGATCGTGTACTGTGATAAGTACTTCTGAAATCTGCATTAGTACAGAAGCTCCTGAGCTCTCAAATTTGTAAGTCTTCTGTATAAGCAAACAAGATTCTCTGATAGAATTTATGTGACTCATCTAATAGTGGTGGCAAGAAATACCTGGCTGCTGCAACAGCTGGCTCAAATGTTGCTGTGTGTTTTCCTCATACTCAACCTCCCTATCATCCTTTTCATCCTCCTAACCTTCCTTTTCATCCTCCAGTAATTAATTTGAAGAATTTGGATGTTTAAAAAGCCTGAAAGAAGGGAGGTATGGCATAGGAGGAAGAGAGAAGTCCTTACATGTGTCTTCATGCAACTGTGTGCTTACAAACAGGGCTGAAGCATGAACTGTGAGCTTATTTCCATAGTGTCCATTGCTATGTAAACGTTTATTGGAATGCTGTAAAGCACAAGGCATAACAGGTTAAAGTCATGCTCTTATCACTTTTGTAGGGGAGAGGAATATAAGATGGCCCCATCTAAATCAATACTGAGTTTTGCTTTTGACTTAAGAGAACACATGGGATGAAATTCTGGACTCAACTGCAGCTGGGGGATTTAATCAGGATTTACACAGATGAAATTGAGAAGGAGTCAGGTTGGCTGAGCAAATTTAACTAGTCCTGGCAGCTGAAGGGATGGTCCTCTACCACCTGCATGGTCTGCTCGTTCCTGACCTGCTCAGCAATCTCTGACTTCTCAGTGATCCCACTTGGCTTGTTAAAGATGAAGGATGCTTTTCCCTGCCAGGTTAGTTATCTGCTGATTTAATGAATTGAACTGGCATGCCACAGGGTCACACGAAGTTGTTGTGAGGTAAAGAGTAGAAACATGTGGCTTGGGAAACTATTCTTTTGGTAACAGAGCCACTTTAAATAACTGCCATCCCATATTCCCTCCTGTGTCACTTGCTTTTGCTCTTTGTAGTTCACTGTCGCAGTGCTCTGCCCTTTGGGCTGCTGCAAGAAATGAGATCAGGGAACTGATCCATGCTAAACTCAATCCAGAAAAAAACCCTGGGTATTGTTAACCTGAATCAGTTCCCCATGGTAGCATGGGAGACTGAATTTTTAAGACAGCTCTGGAAAATGTAACAGGACAGAACTTATTTTCTGTCTCATGTTTTCATGTGAGTAAATGTTGTGGGAATAGAAGAGCAGCAGTGATGTTGCTGGATTCTCCAGTCAACCCCAGTCTTCTTGAGATTTTATTGTTAAATAGTTATTCTTTGTATCTTGTACTGAGTGGAGGAATCTGGCCTGGCCTACTGCAGTGATCATGGCTCAAGCTAATATTCCGTCAAATACGGGACAGAAATTCCAGCGTGTGTGGTTTAGGTTGTAAATCTTGAAGTAGAAAATTAATAATGGTTGAGCCCCTGACTCCACAGGCTGCTGATCCAGCCTCTTTAAGATTTTTCTTAAGGCAGTTCACCAAAAATCTCACATTGAAGCCTGCAAAGCTCACGTATTAAGGAAATGCTTATATTTAAAGCAAATAAGCTACTACAAGAAAGCTCCTGGACTTCAACTGAAGTGCATGAGGATCTTTATAGATATCTCTTGTTTGTAAAAACAAATGTGTAAATACAATTGGTGGAAGCCTAACCAACACTTTTACTAATGAGCTGAAAATATCTTCCCCCTTCAGCTGCCATAATTAAAATTCATTTTTGCTTCATGAAAATCATTCCCCTCGTTAACTTCCTAGCCAATGCCAGCATCCCCAGACTAATCCCACTCACAAAACCATACCTGTGGCAGCTCACCACTCTCGCTGTTTCAATTAAGCTTGCTTTTTTTCCTTCCCTAACAAAGCAAACTAAAGTAAGCATATAGCCTTTGTGTGCTCCCATAAGCAGATCAGCTTCTGAGGTTAAAAAGCATCCGCAACGTTCACGTTGTTTACTTCCAAGTCCGCTACGGCGGGTATTTAAAGCCACGATGAGAGGTGCCGGGGCAGACGATGTTGCGCTGGTGGTATTTGCCGCTCGGGCTGGCCGGGTGTGAGAGAAGCAAGGCAGGCGGTTCAGCGCTCTATCTGTGGCTGCAATTCACCAGCCCTCCGAGCCGAGAGGGGGGCACAATCCGCCCGCGTTTGACAGACCTGCTGCCTCGCCTCGGCTTCGCTAGGCTCCCACCCGCCTGGGTTTCCAAGGCCCGACGCGGAGCGGAGGTGGAAGGCGGAGGAGAGAGAAGGCCGGCCGGCGTCCGCCGAGTGCCGGCGCCGCTCCGCAGGAGCAGTCGCAGCGCGGTTATGCCACGGTATTGAGCGGCGGTAGTGGCTGCGGGGAAACGCTGCCCCTCTCTGGGCTGCGGTCGGAGGGCACCGAGGTGGAGGTGAGGGGCGCGGCGGGACGGGGGGGGTGGGAGAATGGGAAAGCCCCTTAGAGGTCAGTGGACCTTAATGTTCAGGCCACCCGATTTGGGGAGCCCCGAGCGGCGAAGGAAACGCCGGGAAGGAGTAAAGTCATTTGTCCAGGTAGCTCCTGGAACCACTTTGGGGGCAGAGAGCGCGGCTGCGGTGAGAGACTCTGAGGGGCTCAACACTGCTTAAGTGGCGCCGTCCGCGGGAGAGGTATTTAAACATATTAATAGCTGGCTGCAACCCGTTTGCGAGGGGCGACCTCACATTAGACTCCTTGCTTCTCTTCTAATACCCAGCGTGTTTAAGCTACTAAGTACTCTAGAAACATAGTCTGAGTCCTTCTGAAGGCTGCTTTTAGTTATTAGGATTCCAAGCGAATTAGCAGGCTCATCTGAAAATCCTTCGGGAAACTCAGATTTTATTCAGCTTCTGTGCAGAAAATTTGTGGTTCATAAATCTACTTTAACGTTTGGATCTGAGATGATATTGAGACAGTAAAGATTTACATGGTCATCTTCACTTGAAAGGTCAGGAGCTATTCTTTTCCTTTTTCAAAGGCTTTGCAGAAAGCTGCTCGTAATTTAGCTGGTGGAATTGCCTGGAGCAGTTTAATGAGGGAGGAGCACAGGTGAACCCAGGAAAGGGATCTGGAGGGGAGAGGAGTCTGGTGTAAAGAGGCAAAGTCGGATGTTATTTTATTCGGTTAACGTTGCTTAGGAAAGTCCTCTTCCAAGGGTGAGGGGGCACAGGTGTTAAGATTTGTATTTAAAACCAGCAGTGGCTTAGCTGTCACTGCTCACCTTCGAGTGAGAGTCTGTCCCTTCTATTTGTGCTAAATGGCAGCATCAATTTGGAGTTTGTTTACTAACAAATTAAAGTATATGCTTCTTTGAGGTAGTAGCCAGAGGCTTGCTACTGCGTGGCTTCCTGCGCGTCTGCAGTGGGTGAGATTCCCTCCAGGTTTGTGTGGGACGTTCTCAGGGAGGAGTGGGAGCCTGCAGCGGGGCTAACCCTGCAACGCCGAGAGCAAACCGGACACCCAGTAGGTCGCGACTGTGTTGGTTCGCTACCTGAAACTTTTTACGCTGAATTCACATGGGTGGTAGCTGAGACATTTCGTCCTCTCAGGAGAAGGCCCACAGGTGGCACTGGGAGATAAGGCACCACCAACAACTATACAGACTTGGCAGCCGATGCGCGTCAATCCGAAGTTTGGATCAGTAAGTGCCGAGAATGGTTTTGACAGAGGCTTGCTTTCTGGTACAGCGGAGCAGTTTCCCACACGACCATGGCGGAAGGGAGCGCAGCGTGCCGCTCAGCTCTCGACGCGGGCGAGGCAAAGCGCTAGCTAGCCCTGCCTCAAGTGCGCTTCGCTCCTTGGATGCGCTCGCCGTGGCTGGGGAAGGGGAACGACATGGTTGCGACGAAGTTGGTTGCTCCATCCTGGAGGAGGGGGTTTCAGCGGGCTGGCTGCCGAGGCAGGGATACCTGGAGGAGAGCTTCTTTTCTCCCCCCCACCCTTTTCCCCCCAACCCTTCTTCCTCACTTTTTTTTTCTTGGCGATTCATAAAGCGCGGAGCGGGGAGGCGGTCACGATCAGCCTCTCAGCCGCGGCGTGGCTCCTTCACCACGCTTCCGCAGCCGGGAGCAGCGGCAGTGCCAGCCGCCTGGGTGAGCCTGGGGAGCTCCCTGGTCCCTCCTGCTGCGGGCGGCAGCGGCGGCGCCGCTTTCCCGGTCCCCCTGCGAGCCTCAAAAGTTCCCCCCCTCCCCCCCCCGAGCGGCCCCACAGTGGCGGCAGCGCCGCCGCCGCGCAGACAGCCGCAGCCGGCGTTGGCCAGCGGCAGGCGGAGCGGCGCCGGCGCTGCCCCATCTCTTCGCACGGACCCGGTGGTGGCACCAGCGACCCCGTAGGCCTAGCTGCCAGTGCCCGGCCTCGGCCCCTCCCGCTCCCCGCCACGGCGGAAAGTTTCCCAGAGCCTGGCGGAAGGGGGTTAAGTCGGAGGGAGGCGCAGGTGGAATTGATGCGGAGGAGGGCTGCCGCGGCTAGTCGGGCTGCCTCTGCCCGGGGGCTCCCCACCCTTCTGGGGCAGGGCTGTGGAGCCCGGAGAGCCTCCTTCAGCGAGGACTAACACCTGTCTCCTTCCCTATGGGTCCCTGCAGAGGATAAACGGTAACCTTAAGTACTGTCTTATCGCATTAAAACGTAGGGTTAATTTGAAAGGGATAGTGAAAGAAATGAAATGTTTAGACTTTAATATCTGCATATGATAATCAGTAAAATAAAATAATCAGTTAGTATTCCGCCCCTGTAATACTTGTGCGGGAGAGAGGCTGCTGTTACATCTCATTTCCAAGCTCGTTTGAGAGAAGCGGAGTGATGCTGAGTACCTTATCTGCTGCCTTTTCCCGAGTGCCTGAGCCCTTCAGGCATCGGAGAGCCCTGCGGAGTGGAGAGGGGAAGCTCCTTGCCTTGTAGCTGTAAAGCTGCGGGGAGACAGATTTTCGGGATCAGAAAACCTTGTGAATGCTTCAGGATTTGGGATTGCAGCAGTGGACTAAGAGCGGAATCAGCAGGGTGACCCTGGTCCCCCGACTCCTGGTAGGTGATGTGACTGATGCCTGGCTTTTACGCACCCCAGTGATTTCCCCGTAACTGATCGGAGCTCTGTGTTTGAAATGTTGCAGTAACTTGAGAGATGTACGGTAAAGTCAGCCTTGTGGGCTGGAGCCCGAGGAATACAAGATTACCTTTAGGAGAACAGGATAAGCGTGTGGGTGGTATCATCTGGGGGCACATGCTGGGAGAAGCAGATGCCTGCTTTCCAGACCCTTTACATGTTTCAGCAGTGGCTATTAACGACAATTGTATGAATGTCAGTTTAGAGGGAGGTGTGTGGTGGCTGGAGGGGTGGGTTACTTGTCAGTCATTTCACGGTGACTTATTTAGATTCCCTTGAAGTGCGGGAAAACCTCTGGGTTGCTCCCACCTCCCATCATTAAAAGTTAAGGTGGAAACATTTGCTTGTTTGTTCCTAGCCACACCCCGATGGGAGGAGGTCCATGACATGTAACGTCCTCGGAGTACTCTTTGGGGAGTGTGCAGGTTAAGTGGATATGTTTTTCACTTTGCGTGAAAGCTGTTTTGCTTTCTGATAGTTGGAAACTGGCGGAAAAGAGAGATTTAAAAATAAAATCAGACTGTATAGTTGAAGTGGTAAAGCAAATGTTCTCAAGATCCCACGTAACAAGCTGGGAATGAATGCAAACTGTTCTTGCTCTGTACCTCTTCCAAATTCGATTCTCTCTGAAAGATGCTATCTTCTCCTGCTTCCCAGCAAAGCCAAATCTGTGTGGCTAGTCAATCATATAATGTAAATGAGTGCTTTTTCTCAGCCTCCTAAACAGGCAATGGGAACGTGTTGGCACTGCAGCAGGGGTGACAGTTTTGTCACGTGTATAAACCCTACATGTACAGTAACGGTGTGGAAATCCAGTGTGCTTTAAACTTCTTGGTGTGTCACAAAGCGTCACAAGATCTCGAACAGGTTACTTCTGAATCAGATACTACAGCCTCTCCAGTTTCAGCTGCTGCTGATCTGGCAAGCCCCCTTATGCCACCCTCTGGAAGGCACAGTGACTGTACTTGACACATACTTAATTTTCAAGAGAAAGACCGTAGACGGGTAAAGGCATATCTAGGGTCAGATCAGGCTTGATTAAATTATTTATCAAAGTTTAATAGTTCAGCTTTTCATATCCCACTGCACTAAGTACTTCTTTTAATTATTTTTTTCCCCTGTAACTTTCAAACAGCAACATGTACAGCTATTTGGAAAAGTGTAAGAGTGTCTAATTGCTTTATTAAAATGGGAGTAGTTACTAGAGCAACCTCCTAAACATTTTTAAAGGTATTAATTCAATGTGCATTTTACAGATAAAGAGTTTCAGTGAGGTTCTTGAGAGTGCAGCTGCTGTTTATTGGTCTACCATCCACCAGCTAAGCATCATTCCAGTTGTGTAAATGTGTGTGGAGGTTTCTTTAGATCTTCTCTGTAGGCACTGATTCTTTTCTACACCCTAATGGAAGTCTGAAGCACCAAGTCCGAGTTGCTGCTGCATTGTGTATCTGTGAAGCATATGCATTTGTTACTTTGTGGGGTAGCAGTGGCTTGTCAGCACCTTGGTGTCTTGCAGGGACAACTCCGCTGCAGTGCTGGATGAGTGCATGGGTCCATACTGTGGAGTTAAGTTTAGGACTTTAGAAGCAGATACAGCACTGAATTGGGGATGTAGAATTTTGTTGTTTGAAGATCATATCAGACAGGAGTTGGAAGTTGGGCTGAGTTCTCTTCCCTCTACTTTTTAAAGAAATCTTCCCTAAATTCCTTATGTATCACTACCAGGATCTGCATGTTTGTAATTAGAGGGACACATGGCTAAAAAGCAGGATCCTTGAGGTCTCCAGTGCTTATTGCTCCTTTCCTTCTTCCCATGCCTTAGCAGCCTGTTAACATGGAGCTTTACCACTGAACTCTGTGATTTAAGTCATTTGTGGCAAACCTTAAACACAGGGCATAATATATTGTTAAAGCTGATTGTTGTTAGCAAGCAGGTGAAGGAAACAAACCCAGTAGCTTTGCACTTTTCCTTTGGTGGGTTTAGTGAACTTTGGGGAATAACTTTGCCTTAGACAAAATGCTCTTAAACAGGAAAATTTTAGCTTTCCTGGTTTTATTTTGGTTTTGTTTTTATGTTTGCACATGCTTCAGAGCCTGTATGCAGCTAAGCAACAAAATCTGAAACTAGGAAAGTAGATGCTGGTTGTGGCTCAGCTGTAACAGTAGATCTGGTATAAACCCCATTGGTTTTGCAGACTAAACCTTTTTACCCAATGAAGGTGGTTTATGGATCTTTGTCAAAACTTGAAGAGCACTTAACAGATCTCTGGCAAAATGAAGCATTGCTTTTGTGTGAAACGGCTAACTTTCTCATAAACTTAGTGTGTGTAGCTGAAAACTGAACTAACAGCGAATTAATATGTACTTCTCAGGATTTAAAACATGCAGATGGGTAACTGACCAGTTCAAGCTTGAGATCTGGATCTAGCTGAAAGGCTGGTTGAGACTTAAAACCAGATTTGCTAGTTCTGTCCTATTAATAGTTTATGAATTCAGTATGTGAACTATAGAAAACAGTAGTTAAAATGGAAAGGCTTATTGCTTAAAATTCTGCAATCAGAGCTTCCTGGTTTAATTAAAAATAACTAATCAACTGATTGATGAAGGAAAGGGTGGGGGGGAAGTACCTTGCAGGTATATATTCATTTTGCTGCTACTGGAGCATTCTGTTTTATGTGTTTGTTGGTATGAAATATTCTGGGGAAGGATACATCGAGTGCCTAAATATGTTGTATGAGCACAACAGAGCAGGCTTCTGGGAGAGAAGATCCTCCTGCAAATTTGGATGCTTAGGTGGTTTATTAAAGAGACTTTACAATAAATACTAGCTCAGCAGTAATTGGAATTGATTTGGTTTTTTGGCAGTTCAGGCAGTTGGTGTAATCCTATTGGCAGTGGGTTTATATGTTTTCTACCTGTTAGGATTACGTGCTGTTCTTTGGTGGCTGGGTACCTGACTGCGTTTTTTTTCAAGTTGTTACACAAAAGAAGACAGAACAAGTGCTTTTAATCACTGGTGACAAACGTCTGAGAAAGAGCTAAAGTAATTTAAAATAGTGTCTATCTTGAATATATAAAATCGACCTGACCTTTGTACGACACTTATAGATTCACAAAACATACAGCTCTGGGTGTGGGAGAAAGAAGGTTATTCTTTCTGGATACAGCCTAGAAGGGAAAAGCCATGAGAATATTTGAGAAGTGTGACCTATAGCTATAGAGTGGCTGCATTTGCCTTGGACCCTTGTAGATTCCCCTGTTGTCAGAGATTTGACCTGGTCAGTGTGATTGCCCTGAATCCTTGGCTGATGTTAATAAGCATCATTGGAGGTGCCAGAATGCAGCATAAACCCAGCGCTGTGAAGGGGAAAGATGAACGAGGAAGTCAGCACCTTCTGCTCTCTAGCCTCTGTGTGAAATGCAGATGAAGGTTTTTTGGGTGTTTGTTTCCTGTTTTGTTTTCTTTTGTTGTTGTTCTCTCCCTCCCCTTTGGAACTTTGTCTCTGATGGTTAACCCCTTTGAGGTGTTTTTAAGGGCAATTGGTAACCAAGTGGACTAGTAGTGTATCTCAATTAGGATGCTACAGCTGCAGTGACAGCATAGAACAGTGAGGAACCAGGTCTCAGCCAGGGTTTTTTTTCTTCACTTGTGTATGAAACTCTCATCTCAACTGTGCTGGCTCATATTGAGAGTAACTACTCTGAATTCCATTATTGGGAGTTTAAGTTAGTAGCACTGAGACCGTAATCTTACAGTGAAGGTGAACAGGGGAATCCTGGGCTTTTTCCTAATTTTACTTGGAAGTTCAAGCAAGCAAATACTGCCATAGTGAATGTTTGCCTTTAGGAAGGGGCAGCGACTGTAGTCTTCCTCCAGTCTATTTTGTCTATCATTGAGAGAATGCCCTGCAACCTAGAAACATAGAGTCTTGGTTCAAATGAATTCCCTGAAACAGTGCAGTCTGAAGGGCAAAGGAAAAAGAGAAACTGAGGAAAACTGAAAGTGCCACAAAGACTGGTTATTTTCAGTCACTGATGAAGTACCAGCTTATTTCTTATTTAGATCATACATTTAATTTGTTTCATTTTCTAAACTGAATAAAGCATTTGAGGTTATGGGAGAAGAAACTGAGTAAAAATACCAAAGCTGACTGATAGACGCTGATAGAAAGGTTATAAGGTGTTTGGGAAGGACCTAGGGAGAAAAATATTCCTGATTAAACAGCTTCAGGAGCCATCTTGGTAAAACAGTAGCGAGTCCTTTCTAATGTACAGATCATGTTTAAGCACCAAAATGCTCATCTTGCTGAAGTGATTTAATTAGTGGGGAAAAATATGCTGGCCACTACTTTTATCAGTACTTTTCTTGATTACTTTGGTTATTAGGTAGTCAGACCTAATAAGAATTTGTGGATACAACAGCTCTGTTTTTTTTTCCATAGTTACACCTTAGCACACACTCCTACTTAAAACAAAAAACAAACAAGAAAAA